CAAATCCGCTTCTTTCTTAAAAGTTCTCTTACATTCTTCGCACTCCATATATAGACTAACATATTTGCGCTGTTGCCCCCAACCACACTTGGAGTGGGGATTGTCCGTAGGTGGATTTTTGACACGGGTCTTGCCCGTGTTGAGATTGCGCTGGAACCCCCATTCCCTATACTACTCCCTTCAGCCTTGTCAAAGTCGAAAAACTGCTGGTCTATCTCCTTCTTCCTACCTACTAATTCCCTGATGGTSTCCGTTCTGCAGCAGCGCCGTTTGATGTCCCCGTGGGTAAGGCAGGGTTCGTCGTCAAAAGTGTACAAGAAGGTACACCTTGCCCTATGCCACAAATCATCATCGTCACAATACTTGCAGGCTTTGCAGACCCTATTTTTGACGTGGTACTGCAGCATTTGCTTGCTACTGAACTTCTTTGAGCAATGGTCGCAGACTAACTAATAACTAATAAGCAGCTCTTGAAAAGTGTCAAACTCCTGATTGCGGCCATTACAAACGTATCGCTCCATATATCTACAGCGGATACTTCATGAAGTCCACGACGGACTCCTTAGCCCACGTTGCCATCGTTATCAAAGCGCCAAACCGCTCTGCGCGCTTCAAACCGCGCATTTCCTCATACGATTCCTTCACGCGCCTGTTCAGCCGGTGTATTTCCTCCCTTTGCATCTCTACCGTCCTTTCCAGGTCTGACTTCCTTTTGACAACGTTAACCATCTCTTTGACTGCTTCAACGGGCTCCATATATACAATGGATCCGAACCATATTCCTTGTAATGCTCTGATAGTAGGACCTACCGGTTGCGGAAAGACCCAGTTCGTCGTAGAGCAGCTGTTGGGACCCTTTAGATACCGATTCGACTACATTGTGCTGCTTTGCCCCACCTACGTGAACAAAAGAACCTGGACTGGCATAGGCGTGAAAGATGACGACTTCTTCGTAGATATCTTAGACCCCAATGAGTAATCTGGACATCTTAAGTTTTGGCATAGACAGTTCTCGTCTCGCGAGACTCGACGGGCGAGTACGCAAACTTTGTTAATATTGGATGACATTGCCTGTGGGGATGACGTAAAAAGACGCACTTCCGAGTTAGTAAAGCTTGCTTTCAGCGGCGGACATGACAATATTAGCGTTTGGTTGCTCTCGCAGCAGCTTACCAGTGTCTCTAAGCCCTTTAGGGAAAACATAGGCTCCCTGGTTGTCTTCTACACGCCCATTAAAAGCGATCTGGAAACCATCTTAAGCGACTATGGCGGCGAGATAAGCAAGGAACAGTTGCATGAATACATGCGGCATCTAAAGATGCACCAACATTCCAAGATGATCTTCTCTTTGAGGTTTCCGTATCAAGTTGGAATCTATGATTCCTAATGTATATGGAGATTGAGCAGCTCATAGATGTGCCAACACAAATAGATGAAAGTGACCTTAAGGAACAACTTAACGTCCTTGTGTCATCTGGAAAGTGTAAGGAAATGATAGGCAAGGAACTCACCCATGAGCAAGTTAATAAGTTGTCAGAAGAGGAAGGTATGAGGCCGCCCTTGCAAGTAAAACCACGGACGCCGTAGCAGACTCCGCAATTAAGTTGGCCACCAAAATAAATTAGGTATTTGTATAAATGTATACTACGACCTTTCTGCAATCAAGTGTGTGTGTATATATATATATATACAGCCATTTGCAAAAATTATGGCCATTTTGAATATACGTACAAGTATATCGAAAGTATATAAAGTATAAATAAAAGTATAAATAAAAATGGGTGGGCTAGAAAATATCATGCACCACTAAAGGGGGGGGGGAGGGGGGAGCATGTAATTTCACAATGTAGTGCATTTTGATTCGATTTCACTGCATGGCTTTTATAATGGGAGATACTATCTTCATATCGAATATAAAATAAAATAATTGACGATTTTTTCCCGATCTTATTTTACCTTTCTGAATCATTCAAATTGGGCTACCTGTGACTTTCGTATCTGGAGCTCCGCTTTTAGGCAGTGCCTAAATATATATATTACAAAATAATATTCACATTTTGAAAACGTTTTAAAAATTATTTCTATATATATTTGGCGTTATTTTGTGCCATTTCTTTGAATTTGTGTTTTAAGAAAGAGAAATAAACTATTTCTTTAAGATAATTGTGAGACATTTGGATATACAATGTACAATTTTTGCATTTCCACGGTTTCCAATATTTCTTTACAGACATCCCGGCCAGACTGTTTCTTTCTTCTTTTATTATTATTTATCGTTATTCTTTAAAGTGATAAGTTTTTAATTATTTTTATTTTCTATTGATTGATTTACGGCTCACGAACTCGTTTAAAATTAAACATAGAGGAATTTTTTTTTCAATTACCAAAAATTCGTCAAATCATCTTATTTTTTCTATGGCACTCTACATTAAAACTCTCTCACGGCTTATGCGACTCATGGCCCTGAGAGAAGAAATATTTATTTCAACTCTCAGGGAAAATATTATGTTCGTCTGGACTACAGTGACTTCATTATCTCCTGGTCTTAATTAAGTGATTGAAATATAGAATTTGTTTGAAGACACTTGTTCTAGAAATTTCTTAGTTGTTGAGTAATAATCATAACATCACAATGGAATTGCTATAGAAATATTAGTTTTTCATTCGAAGAGTCCATTCGTTCTAGCTCTTTCGATCTTGTATTATGAAATGTATGGGTCGGCCATTTTCGGGTGTTCGATTGAGGGGCGCAAACATGGCCGCCAGTTTCCAAATCACGAAGGTTAAAAATCATGTTCATATTGCAACCACTTCCGTTTTTCAAGAACAATAATCATCAAAAATGAGTTGAAAACGTTGACACATACGTCATCGCAATTTTTCCCAGGAATTATATAAAACAAAACTTCCAAATGCCGAAATAGCAGCCAAAAATATATCTCTCAGAAATAGTTTTAGTTTAAAGAAATTTTTTATACAAAACAGGAGCGATTGCTTTTGTTTATAATTTAGTAAAACTGTATGGCTCCGCCATCTTGGTGTCCAACTGGCTGTTGGCTTGATAGTTATGGCTGATGACTCGATAGTTTATACTTTTTCAACAACCATACACACTAACTTGATCTCACTTTGTAAATATTTATTCAGTAAATTTTTTTCATAACTGCTGTTAAACTCTATATCAATATTCCTATTTTTTCTACTGTAATTTTTGTGTGTGAAATAAACTTGACTTGACTTGACTTGACAACTAAGGGACACAAACTTGGCGATCAAATCGCGAAGGTTAAAAATAATGTTTATAGTGCAAGCACTTCAGTTTTTCAATAACGATAAAAAAATCATCAAAATAAAGTTACCAACCATCTACTCAGTTAAAAACGTATTATTTCAATCAAATGGCGAAAATGCGTGACAGAAATTGACAAAGAAAATGAAATTATTATAGTAAGACTTTCTTATCACGGTGAATTCTTTGGATTTTAGTTTTTTTTTTGATAACGTGACAGACAAGAATTCCCGCAGCGCGGCAAAACAAGAGAAGAGAGACTTTCCTCGAGACATCGGATTTCAAAGTATTTTTAACAAGCAACGAAGCGAAAATCTGACCATATTTCTTATGAACAATTCAAACTTTAGTTAATTAAATCCAAGCAAAATAACCATCTTGACTGAACATTATTGACATCTCTAAAAATTTACGAAGCACAAAAAAAAAACTAATAATTTAGACTTTATCAAAAACCTAATTCCGTTCTTTTCTGATTGGCTAAAGTTTTGACTCAAGATTACGATTGGTCAACTTTGCAAAAGTGGTCCTGCTTAAAACATGCCCACTTTAACAATCAAATTGAGTTTTCTTAATTGGATTTTGAAGTTTTCTTAGATTTTAAGTGAGTTTTCATTGTAGGAGTAAATGAAATAAGACAAATTACTTTTAACCTACTGAGATTTTATCTCTCAGATAATTGCTAAATAGATAAATAATAAAGTTTGCTTTGGTACACCATGAATCGCTATCCAGACAGGTGATTCTGCTTTTCAGGGCCAGAACGAATTAGCCAGTCAGCGAATCTTTTGTGTAAAGCCAGTATTTCTTAGTTCCAGGTTTTCAGCTCGAAAAAGCATCAGCTTTTACTCGAAAATAAATAAATAAATAACTTAAAAATAGCATTAAGAAATAGTATTTTTCATTGTTGTTGTTGGAAAATGTTTCATTTTGAAATGAGATAAGATTTGAAAATTTTCGCTCTCACAATTAAACAATGCATTGCGCGCCTAGAATCAAATTATTTGGTATATTATAATCAAGTCTTGCAATAATTTCACTCTATTATTTCGTATTTCAAATTGTACTGTGAGCTAAACTAGATGGGACTCATACGACACCTCAGTCAGTGATACAAGTTTGAAAATGCTAGCTTCAGCAGAGAATATCCAATCATAAACATTGATATAACCTTGTTTTCCTATGTAACTTTGATCATTCTCATCTTGAAAGCAGAAAGGACAGGTAAATTTTAAAACTTATTTGTTAAAATTGTTCTGTAGAAATGCAGTATTTGTAATAAAAAGCGTATTTTTGCTATTCAATGCAATAATACAGCATTGGCACCGACTCCAACATGTTCGAACTTAAAGATATTAGAAAACATGCGTGTTACAATGCTAAGTATTATAGTCGATACATTTTTGGCGAAAGGTATTTCTAAAGTAGGACCAACTTGGTCATACGAAAAGAGCTCGTAATTTTAATCTTTAACGCGTTACATTAAGAAACATGAGTTTCAGTTAACAGGATTATAATATTTTGTGAATGAAAGGTGTCTCTTGTTTTCTGCATGTGGAAAAAAGTTTTGTATTTATCTGGTATATTGTAATCAAGTCTTGCAATAATCATTTCACTCTATTATTTCGTATTTCAAATTGTACTGTAAGCTGAAGCAGATGAAACCCGTACGACACCTCAGTCAGTGATACAAGTTTGAAAATCCAAGCTTAAGCAGAGAATCTCCATTTGAAAACATGGATCTAACCTTGTTTTTCTATGTAACGACGATCATTCTAATCTTGAAATCAGATAAGACAGGTAAGTTTTTAACTTGTTTGTTATACTTTGTTCTGTAGACTATGAAGTCTTTGTAATAAAAAAGAATTTATTTTTTTTTGGTATTCACCGCCATCTATACAGCAGTGGCGCAGTTCAACACGTCCGACTACTATGGTAGTCATTAATTAATTGGAGAAATGCTTTTATAAAGTAGGACCAGTTTGATTATTAAGATATTTTATAACATCAATCGTTACAATTTCAGTTAACAGGAATATAATATTTTGTGAATGAAAGGTGTCTCTTGTTTTCTGCATGTGGAGAAAGTTTCAATTTCAATTTGCACGATTTACTTTTTTCATTGTTAAGTTTTAAGCTCATTCTAGCTTTCAAAATCTAGTTCACTTATTCAGTTATTAGAAATAATGTTATTTTTAGAGAAAAAAACATTGTCAAAATTGTTTTAAGAAAACATTTTTGCGGTTCAACAAAAATTTGAAGAAGTTCACATTTCTGCAAAATGATATTCACAGATTACTTTTTTTTTACTGATAACGTTTTTAAATCAATTTTTAAGTATATTTGGATTTATTTTGTGCCATTTCTTTGAATTTGCTTTTCAAGAAAAAGAAATAATTTTTTTCTCTTATGTCATTGTAGGATATTTGGATACAATGTCGTCACTTAATTCAATTTTTTGCATTTCAATAGTTTCCAATATTTCTTTACAGGAGACATCCCCGGCTAGACTGTTTCTTTCTTTCTTTTTTCTTTTTTCATTTCTAATTTTATCGTTGTTATTCTTTAAAGTGATTATTTTATTTTTTTTAATTTTTATTGATTAATTTGTAACTTACAAACTTGTTTAGAACTTAAGAGTGACTGTCTGTAACGATCAGGCAAAATTCAAAATCCGTGGCAAACTTCGAAAAATCGATTTCGCTCATACTTTCAAGTTAGTTAGGGTAATGTATCCTAAGAATCGCTGTATAGTTGGTTTGATCAAATAACGCTTTATTATGGAGAAAAATGGAATTTTTCAAACACTCCCGAAAACGCCGTTCGCGACAGTAAATTTTGACTCAACTTTCGCGGCTGTTGGACAAAAAATAAGCAACACTGGGAATAAAAACAACCCATATTCTTGAAGAACAATCTATTGAGTACGATATGCGTGACTTTGGGATCAATTGTACAATTTTAAGATAACAAAATAATTTTATTCGCTAGACGTGTGTTTAGAGTATCAAAAAGTAGGTCTTACAAAAATATTCATTCTGAATGTGCTAAACCTATCAGTCGCGTGAAGCTTCGCTGGTTGATTAGTCAGATGTTGGTCTTTCTAGTGATGTAAAGAAATCTTTGGGCAAATGATTGTGTGTCACGCAGTATGTCTTCAAACTTTGTTCAAATTACTCATTTCTGACCTCTGGCCGCTTTCTATGACAGACAAGATACTAGTGTTTATAAGTAAAATACAAACTCAAAAACAAGCCTAAAACACTTTTATAGCCTTA